TCAGAGAGCATGTCTTGTTTTCTCTGTTGCACACAGTATACTGCCATTTGTACTCCTATGGGGAAAGTTTTAGTGAACCCTGCCCCACAGAGAGATCTCAGTTGTGAGTTTTCCCCTGACAGGTCTTTGAGGCCTGAGGATCTTGCCTGACAGTTCTCTGTACTCTGGTCTCCCATGGAGTGTGGTTATCTGACACCCATTTCTGGCCTTTGTGGTCCTCAGGCAAACATATGGTTTACAGATACATATGCGGGTAAAACACTCATACACACAAATCAAATAAACCTAAAACTAACAACAATAGTAGTCGTGTTTTCTAGGGATTGAGCTCAGATTCCCCTCTCTGTAAGGCAAGCACTTTTCCAGCTGAGCCTTCTGTCCCCAGTTCTAAGCTACTCTGGGGTTCATAGGTCTCCACACCCCTCACTGCCAAACTGTTGGTAGTTGATGGGTTCTAGGGCAGTTCCCATGTTGGGCAACTCACAACCACCTGTAACTCCAGATGCAGGGGATCTGACATGATACTTTCTTCTGGCCTTCACAATATATATCAATTAAACAATAAAACAAGGGGGCTGGAGAGAGGCTCAGTGGTTAAGAGCACCAGCTGCTCTTCCAGAGGTTCTGAGTTCAATTCCCAGCAACTACATGGTGGCTCACCACCATCTATAGTGGGATCTGATGCCTTCTCCTGGCATAAAGGCATACATGCAAGGAAGAGCACTCCTATACATAAATTAAACAACTCTTTTTTTAAAAAGATAATAAAACAACATCTTTAGCCAGCATGGCGGCGCCCATCTTTAATCCCAGCACTGAGGAGGCAGAGACATGAGTGTGAGCAGAAGCAGGGGTAGGAGTGTGAGCAGGGGCAGGGGTAGGAGTGTGAGCAGGGGCAGGGGCAGGGGCAGAACAGGCTTCATCAGTTGAGCAGCCTGAACTGAGCGGGAGTGAGACTTCTGCAGCTGAGGCTCCCCTTCAGAAAGCAGGGGGCACAGCCTTCCTGGCCTGTGGGCCAGCCTCTGCCCCCAGCCTTTAGTGGTTGTCACTGTGGCCTCTGCTGATAGTGAATGAGCCTCTCGGCGGGAATATCACAAGAGCTGCTGCCACACTCTGGTGCAAAACTCCTCTGAGCGGAAGCCAGCGTCATTAGCTGGGGAGGAACAGCTGCGAGGGCCACACATCTGTGAGTCATTTGAACAGTTTATGACTAACGAAAAGTATCCATTACCCAGACTTATGCATTATATATGAGCCCAGTGCCTCTGCTGTTAACTGTGCCAGCGGTCCCTTTTGTTGTAGGCCTTTTTCTCCCCCTAATGACATCCTAACTCCAACAATAAACTCAAAAGCCAAAAACTTCACATCTCTAGTATCACTACATAAAATTTCCTATTCCGCCATGGAATCCGCAGCAACCACAATAATCAGCAATGATAAGTACAGCACTCACTGCAAAGATGCAAGGATGAAACCCCTGGAAGATTGGAGTTTGGGATGAGGGTCATGCATTTTAGAGAAAAACAACTGGAAGATTAATGCAACACAAAGAACATCACAAGATGCCAAAAAAAGAAAAAAGCCTAAATATACGGGAGAGGGGGGAGCTCTCCCCGAGATGCCTCCTGCATGTGGATGACCTGGGTTTACAAGAGAGTTTCTGGGGAAAAACATGAGGATCTTTTAAAGGGCCCAGCACCACAGTGAAAAGGGAAGAAAGGTAGAAACTGAGCCAGGAGAAGCCGGCTGTCTGAAGTACCTGCAGTTAGTAAGGGCTCACCCTGTATGTAGTCCAGTGAACCCTAATGAGGACGGCACAGGCAACCAGCCTGAGCAGCCTTCCCCTCCCCCAGGTATCTCAGACAGCCTCAGATCCCCCCAAGATGCTTCTCCTCCCCCCCCCCACACCTTTCTTTCTTTCCCAATGAACTTTTTAGTTTAAATGCCCTTCTTCTGGAAATAGCTTTGAAGGCGTGCAGCTTTGTTCCTGATAGTGGTGAGGGAATGGCCTCCCCAGAACCTCTGATGGCAGAGGTGGCAGTGGTGGCAGTGGTGGCAGCGGTACTCGGTGCCTTGCTTTGTCCCAAGTTCCTGTGGCTGGCTCAGAGCTGAGGATAAGTATGGAAAACGCTAGCATCTTAAAATAATGCCCAGGCTGTGGGAAGCCCATGGAAGAGTGCTGGTAGAGCATGCATACAGCCCTGGGCTGGTCCCCAGCATGCAAGTCTGCACACACTCCTCAAAAGCAGAAACAAAAGAGAGCCCGGCACAATGACAGACTTCTGCAATCCTGCGGACTTCCCAGCACTTGGGAAACCATGTGGGTCAGAAGCCGGAGGGTCACAAGCTGGGCTACATAGTGATGCATTTAAACTAAAGCAAAGGGAAATGAAGGGGAGCCCCTTGTCTTCTGCTCTGGTGAGCAGAGAGCCTCAGATGTGCCTGCTACTCATGCTGGGCTCCCAGAGGTTCGCACCCCTGATTGCAAAGCCAAGGCTTGAGACTAGAATGATAGCAAGTGCCATGGTGGAATGCATCTCTCAAAACATTGGGCCCACTAATTGTATAGGTCTGTCACCCCAGGGAGGCTGTTCTGGAGCATTTGGCCTTTGGGAAGCCATTGCTAGGGATGTCTCCTTACTCCAGCCTTGACTAAGCAGCAGTGTGCTAAGAAAACCCTAGCTCCAATGTCTTCCCATGTTGCTCATTTGCATATTGTATAAGGCATTTACTGCCGGTGCAGAGGTGGGGATATCTCTGGGACATGACTCAGTAGCCAGTGCTGGTTCAAACTTCGGGTATCTGACTGTGAGTGGTTTATTTGAGGCCTACTTAAGCACAGTGCAATTTGGTGAAGATTATTCTGGTGATGATTAATAACTCAGTCCTGCATGCACAACAAAGCATATATCTATCTCCTCGAGTAATAAAGGAAACTATAGATCATGACTAAATCAAAACTCAAGTCTATACGGATAGGTTCTATAAATTGAGAAAAACAAATTTATGAAAGGTCTAGAGTAGGGTGGGTACTGGAAAAGTCTCTAGCCACACAGATAGTGCAAAAGTCACCAGGCTAGAGAGTATCCCAGACTCAGCCTTCTGGAAAGACCAGGTTTTTGTATTCCTTCTCTTGAAGGGACAACCCTATGTGTTTTGCATTCCAGGTTCCCCTAGTGCGTATCTGTGAGCACAAAGCCCCTGAGCTCCCGGTGTCAGGGAAGGAAAGGCTGCCTCCCTTGTTTGACTTGCTTCTGCAGTCATTGCTGGGTTCAGAATTCTACAGGTGGAGACAAGAAACAAGATAATAGCAACCACTTTGTTTTTTTGGTTTTACGAGACAGGGTTTCTCTCTATTGTTTTGGAGGCTGTCGGTCCAGCCCAGCCTCAAACTCACAGAATCCGCCTGCCTCTGCCTCCTGAGTGCTGGGATTAAAGGCGCGCGCCACCACCGCCCGGCTAGCAACCATTTTTGATACAGTTTTGTTTTGAAACGGGGTCTTACTATGCACCCCTGGTTGGCTGGGAATTCATTATGAAATCAGACTGGCCCTGAACTCACAATGGATCAGCTTGTCTCACCTGGCCTGTTAACAAGTTTTTTGGGTGTGTTTTTGAGATGGGGTCTTGCTGTGTAACCCAGGTTTACCTGGAGCTCACAATCCTACTTCCCCAGTCTTATGAATCCTGGGATCGCAGGTTTGCACCACTATGATTGGCTTGGAAACATCAATTGTAATTGGCACCCCTGTTGTGGAATATTATTTGAAGATGTGTTACATTTATTTATTCTGTGGAATATTTACTTAATGATACAAAGATGTATTGCATTCTTTTATATTCCATTTGTTTAACTCTGTGAAGCTGTGAGTCTTTGCCTGTCCAAAATACCTGATTGGTCTAATACAGCCGAACAGTCAATAGCAAGGCAAGAGAAAGGATAGGTGGGGCTGGCAGGCAGAGAGAAAGAATAGGAGAAATCTGGGAAGGAAGAAAAGATCGAGGAGCAAGAGAAAAAGGAGAGGAGGACTCCAGGGATCAGCCACCCAGCTACACAGCAAACCATGGAGTAAGAAATAAAGAAAGATATATAAAATAGAGAAAGTTAAAAGCCCAGAGGAAAAAGTTAGACGGGATAAGTTAAATTTTAAAAAGTTGGCTAGAAACAAGCCAAGCTAAGGCCAGCCATTTGTAAGTAATAATAAGACTCCATGTGCTTTATTTGGGAACTGGGTGGCAAGCCGCCAAAGAGCCAAACAAGCCCAAAGGGTAAAATCAACCAACACCACACCCCAGAGGTTCACTTTCCAAGGCACCCATTTCCATGCCCTCTACACAGAGCGGCTGAGGCACACGCTCAGCTTCTCATTTCTGCTCTAGAATCAGAGGAGTTAGGCTGTGTCAGCAATAGGTGTCCTGTGTTCTTGTCGGGAGAATTTTCTTCCTGGGGAAGAAGAAAATGTCTACCCCTTCAGTTTGATTCCACCAATGTTCAGCCTCGGGAACCAATGAGTCTATTAGGCTTATCTACAGAGCATCGGTGAGGGGTATGGTCAGGGGCATGGGTGACCTTTAAGTAGCCACCCTGGAAAATCTGTACCTCTCATGGATGACAAATCTCCCATAGCTGCATAGATGGAATTCCCTCCCCTCATCCTTCTAAATCTATACACTCCTTTCTGAAACACCTGAGGCCACATGCAATTCTGGTTGGTTGGAGTGGCTGAACACGCAGGTGAGAGTCCCATGACTCTCCCTGCTCCCCCCTTCTATTAGGGAAGTCACTGTGCCTAGCTGCGAACTTTTGCAAGCAGACACAGCTGAACTCATGAAGATGATGTCTATTTGGCTCATAGTCCTACACCCTCTGTTCTCTAGGATAGCGTTCCCTGAAAGGCAGAGTCCCTACTGCCCCACCCACCCGCCTGGGCCAGCCTAGTCTGTTTGCTGTTGCTATAGCAAAACACCCAAGTTTACAAGCAAAAGAGAAGGGGGCTGATCTCCCTGGTCAGTTCAGCCATTACCAGGAGAAAGATCAATCCATTCCTGGAGCTCTCCATGCTGATCAGAGACCCTCCTACCAGGCCCCATCTCCCAGCACTACTGTCTGTAAAATTCAGGATCCAGACACGTGTCTTTAGGGGATGCACCCAGCCACAGAATGCAGTTTGGAGAAAGTGAAAGCACAGATGCCACGGTCAGTGACCGTCCTAGCCACTGCCTCGTCACAAGCACCCTAGCCTAGGTTACCTGGGTGCTCACCCATGGATGCTACGCTCTCTAGGACACACAGAAAAGATGTGACTCAAGCAAGCACAATGACGCCTTGCACCAAGACACGGTGAGTACTTGTGGCCATGTTTTCCTGGTCTTACCTACATGGTTAAGAATAACTGTGGTGACTGCGGTGTCCTACATGGCCTGTGTTGGAGTGTCATGTTTTCAGGAATGCATGCTGTAAAGGAGCAGGGATTGAGGATGATGGCCGATCTATTTGTGCCTCGTCAAGTCTGGAGACTAGCCTTGGCAGGTCCTAGACAGATCAAAGACCTCGCTCGGTGGAGAACTGGAATCTTGGACACCGGCAAGGTGAGTGGCGGAGGGGGCTGCACGAGCTTGGTTGGGGCTGTCACTCACTCGGTCAGCATCATTTCAAGGAGACATGAGCATCACATGTGTCTCTACCTCCTGCCCGTTAATGTGATACCGACAGTAAAAGATGTTAGCCATAACGCCTTATGATTTTTTTCCAACTCCCAGGAAAACCATATTAATTTTTTAACCAAAGGTAAATGAACACTGCTAGCCCACATTCCTCTTTTATTTTTATTTTTTATTATAGCATTTCATTATACTGGGTTGCATGAGGTCATGGTCACATAACCGGAGATATCCATATTAAGTAAATCAGGTCAGTCTCAGAAAAGCAAAAATCCCATGTTTTCTCTCATTTGTGTATCCTAGACCTTGTACAGATTCATAAAGCCATATATGACATGAAAATAGAGTCAAACTGTCTAGGAGACAAAGGGGACTGATGGGAGGGGGAGGGGAGGAGGAGCCAGGGGGAAGGGGGGTTAATAAGCTAGAGGAGCATGCTCATTTCACACAGACTCTCCCCATCACTGTCCCATCAACCATGTCACACATCTCCACATGTCACCAGCTGGCGGTAAAGTGGCAAGGGCTGAGACTTTCTATGTAAACAACGCGCTTGGCGTTGGTGATGCTCTCGGACCAGCCAGAGGTGGACTTCTGAGAAGCCGATGGGGGAGGTGAGGGCGCCAGCGAGCTGTCCAGTGTGCAGGAGACATTTGCAGTGCACACGATGGGAGCCATCTTTCCACCCCAGCTCAGTCACGTTCCCCTTGGCTGTGTGGGAGCAGCAGCTGGCTGGGAGTCTGCCAAGGGAAGCAGAGTTGTCTTTGTCAGCCCATATGGGCTGCTGCAACAAAATGCCATTGTAAACAGCAGACTTACTCCTCACAGTTCCAGAACTGGGGAGTCCAAGACCAGGGAGGCGGCAGATTTAGTCTGCCAAGGGCCACGCCCCTGGTTGTTTTGTAAAGTTAAAATAAGGAGACGATGCAGGCCTGAGTTCATGGATCACATGACTGACCAAGCACACAGAAGCTAACTTTCTTTAGTTCACAGTGGCGAAGAGAGCAACCTGGACCTTGGATGTGAATGATAGCTCTGCCAAATCAGGCCGGCAGGATGTCAAGCCGACTAAAGTCAGGAGACTCTCTGAGATGGGTGTGACTAGTGCATCCGAGAGTGTGTGTGTGTGTGTGTGTGTGTGTGTGTGTGTGTGTGTCCTGGCAGACATGTGAGTGTTCACACAGGACGCATGAGTGCTCCCACTAGGTTATGTGAGTGCTCCCACTGGGCACATGAGTGATCGTACTGCACAGTGCCGCTCGTGGGGAAGAAGCTTTGGAGATGAGCTCAGAGGTCAGTGGGGACATCCGGACACCACTGAGCTCTGAGTGTCAGGCCAGGTGTTGGATCTAGAACTTGAGACAGATGACTTGCTGTGGGGACTGATAATGTGTGATGTGGCCCTTCTCAGGAGAGGTGGACTTCCCTCCAAATGCATGTCCCAGTGAAGCATCTGCAACCCCCACCCCCAGCCCACCCCCACCCCGTGAATCCAACGCTGTTTGGAGTCATTTCAAAATGACCTAGGACTGGACTAACAGTACCTGCTGACTGCATCTTCATACGGCAGCAGGGAAGGAAGCTCTCTGGGCTTCCCATGTAGGAACTGTCATGGCCTGAACCTCCAAGAGATTCTGCCTCTCCTTGTGCCACCTGCTTCTGGGTTCTGTTGGTGTTTGTGGTGTGTGTGTGTGTGTGTGTGTGTGTGTGTGTGTGTGTGTGTGTGTGTGTGTGGTATATGTACTCATTAGTGAAGGTGTGTACAGGTGTGTGAAGGTCCAAGGTCACAATCGGTTGTTTTCGTCAATTGTTGTCCACCTTTATTTCTAATGACATTTATTTAACATGCATGTGTGTGTATGTATGTTTGTGGGTATGCCCATGCTGTGGAACATGAGACAACTTGTGGGACTGGTTGTTTCCTTCTACTATGTAGGCCCTGGGGCTTGAACCCAGGTCATCAGGCTTAGCAGCAAGTGCCTCTATTCACTGAGCCATCTCACTGGCCCTCATCCATCAGTTCCTATTTATCTCCTTTAATGCTGGGTACCCAGTTGTGGCAGTGGTGACTGCTTGTTCTGGAAGGTGGGTGATGCTCTCTGAGCTGCCATCCAGCCCTCCTCCTCCTCTGGAAGGCGGGTGATGCTGATGTTGACGATGGTCACATGTCTAGGTGGGAAAAAATGAAGATCATGTATATGTAGACATGTCACAGAAAACATGCTCCAGACACAGGCCAGGGCATACACAATCACTTGAAGAACGTGTAGGAGGATAGTCCGAGATCACAGCTATGAGCCAAGCATCTTGCCCTCAGGGTTCATGCTGCCGAACTCTCACATGTATTGGGTACAGGTATTGGAAGCACATGGAAAGGACTGGCACCCCACGTCACCATGGGTACGAGGCTGGGAAGGCCATGGCGTTCACGATGACAGCTGAACTATGAGTGTCATCAGCTCCAAGTGCCCTGGCTGCCAGTCTGAGCTGGCACTTGACCACCCTCTGCTTGAGCATGGCAGTGCCCTGATCCTCGCCAGCTCAAGCTTCCTCTCCTATGCCATTTTGTGTGTGATTAGTAGGAGCTTTCCAGGTCTTTTACTGGCAAAGTGGGAACAGAGTCACAAACCCCCGCCTTCCCTCTCCAGCCCTTTCACCCTTCCATCTCTGCCGCTGCCACTCCTACCACCACAGCCGGGGGTTGGGGGTGAGAATTCCAACTGTAGAGGGCTTTTTGTTTATGTTTTCATTTTGTTTTTAATAAGACACAGGAGCAGAGTTCTCCCAGAGGCCAAAACTATGACCATAGCTTCTAGCTCTCAACACCTGTGCCTGGACACACACTAAGGCCTTGAACACCCCCTTTCCAGGGCACCTACCATTGGTCTCCTGGCAGCCTTCACCTCTTTCCCACAGCCTGCCTCTTATTCATTCCCGTCCTGCAGGTACCTTGCAAGGGTTCCCATGTGCTGCTTTTCCCTCTTACAAACTCAGAGAAGGTGCAGTGTCTTTGTTTGGATGCAGGGTCACAGTACTAACTGCCAAGAGGTATTAAAATAAAGCTCTTTGGTTCACGGTTGTACCTCCCTGAACATGCCCATACCACATGTTGTAGGCTAAGGGAAAAAAAAAAGCCTCTTCAGGCTTCTGAGGTGATGATCACTTTTTTTTAAGATTTATTTATTATGTATAGTGTTCTGGCATGCATGCCAGAAGAAGGTATGAGATCTCATTATAGATGGTTATGAACCACCATGTGGTCGCTGGAAATTGAACTCAGGACCTCTGGAAGAGCATCCAGTGCTCTTAATCTCTGAGCCATCTCTCCAGCCCGATGATCACTCTTGTTAGCTGTTGCAAACCTTTTACATTATAGCATTTCTGGGCCCTTCGGGAACAAAGGTGAGAGGAGAGTGAACAGGAGGGTTGTGGTGAAGGTGCCAAGCATCTAAGGCACTCTATTTCAGCTTCATCTCTAACCAGCCTGTCGCTAAGGAAACCAAGGTGACACCTTGGTTCCCAGGACTGGCAAACCATGGCTTCGCAGACAGGTACCCAAGGGTAGTGCTACTGCTAAGGGTGGCCTTGTACTTTAGAGGGCTATGGGAAGAGGAGACCAGAGCTGAGGCCTTATGAGTCCTGCCAAGTCTACTGCATTTCCTGCCAGGGTGGTGAGCGTCTGCTCTCCTGCCTTAACAGAAGCTAAGTGTGCAAACTCCACATCCTTGCAGAGGAACCTCAGGAGCACTGAGCATACCTTCTGAACCTTGACTTGTTTGTGTGCAAGCCAGACTCTGCTGAGAGGACCTGGGAGTGCTTTTGGCTTTGCAGTCAGAAAGAGGGCAGCAGGACACAAGTTATTCGTGTTTATGGTGTTTATTGTGACTTTCCTATGGACACAGCAGGGCAGGGTCCTGCTATCTCCAAGGGTTGAGGTAACTTTGTATACAACCTGCTCCCATCTGTGGGCATCTGCACCAAGTATGAGGGAGCAACATCTAGAAAAGATGCCAGGGTAACAAGTGACAGGAAAGTAGAAACCAAAGTCATATATGTCAAGCTGGTTTAAAAATTCAGCCAGAGGAGAAGCAGAACCAGAGTGCGTAGTGTGTGACTCTGGGTCAGAATCTGGAAAGCCATCCTGACTTGGTGACTCCAATCACAGGCAAGCTCCAGCCCCATAGATGCTCTGGCAGTAATCCTTAGAGCAGGGGAAAGCAACAGACACCCCACCCCCTCCCCAAAACTGACTCTGAGGGTAATCATTGCATCTCTACCAGATGGAGTACCCAGGAGGCACCAGCTGTGACCATGCCTGGGGCTGCCTGTCATTGTCTTTCAGCCCTTTCAATGGGCATTGAGCCAGTTGCCAAGGAGGCAGAGACAGCCCAGAGGGACCAGTTCCAAGGCGAGATGGTTCAAGCCTAGTGCTTCCTGTTCAGATTAAAATATACTCATTCTTGGGGCCAGAGAGATGGCTCAGAGGGTAGGAGCTGTTAAGCCTGGTGACCTGAGTTCTGTCCCCTGGACCCACATAGTGGAAGGAGAAAATCAACTCTCAACTCCTGCAGGTTTTCTTCTGACCTCCACATGTGTGTGCTGTGACATGTACACGCACGTGCACACACACACACACACAAATGCAATTGATAAATTCTTTCCCATCCAAGGCTTCACATCCCTCAATACATTGCCACACGAGTGCACCTGGTTTTGAGAAGCTGTTAAACTAAAGCCAAAAGTCTGAACATTAAAGACGGGCACATCTGCCTCACACCATCTCCATCCAGGGAGACGTGGTTAGTGTGGTGAATTCCAGAAATTCTTACTGCTTTCCATTTCTGTTACATTTGGTACAGTGTTTAAGCAGCTTAATAATCAATCTGATCAGGAGACCCAAGGTGACAGGTGAGATGCAGTCGCAGTCATTCTGCTCTGTCTTGATTCTCTTTACAGCGGGTGACAGCTAATGCAGAGACTCATAACTGGTCAAACGGCTTAGAAAAAGTGACCGTTCTCAGTTCTAAATGGGACGTCTATATCCATCCCGCCCCATCCAAAGCTCAGCGAATGTCTTGGAACAAGGGGGTGGAAAGGATGAGAGAGCCAGGGAGGAGGAGGACTGTGAAGCGTCATCTGGAGCAGGAGAGGCTACTCACACTAGACTGAGCCAATCAACAACAAGGATCACGGATAGAGGAGGGGCTCATGTGACCCAATTCCTCCCTGTGAAGCTGCTAGCAGTCAGTGGGTGGAGGGTGGTCATATTCCTCATGGTAAAGTCACTCTTTTTTTTTTTTTTTTTTTTTTTTGGTTTTTCGAGACAGGGTTTCTCTGTATTGTTTTGGAGACTGTCCCAGAACTAGCTCTGTAGACCAGGCTGGCCTCGAACTCACAGAGATCCGCCTGCCTCTGCCTCCCAAGTGCTGGGATTAAAGGCGTGCGCCACCAATGCCCGGCTGGTACAGTCACTCTTAAGTTGACCCGTGTTTGTTGGTTTTTTGTCAATGACACAAACCTAGATAAGGTCAGACCCGGAAAGAAGGAACCTCAATTGAAACAACTGCCTCAGGAGATTGCCGGTAGGCAAGACTGTATGGCATTGTCCAGACTTAATGGTTGCTGGAGACCCAAGCTCACTGTGGGCCGTGCAACCCTAGGCAGGTGGTTCTGGGTTATATAAGGACGCAAGCTGAGGACGCCATGGCAAGCCAACCAGTAAATTGGGTTCTTCAATGGCCTCTGCTTCCTTTTAGTTTATCTCCAGGTCCTGCCCAGACTTCCCTCGGCGATGGACTGCTAAGCTGTAAGATGAAATAGACCCTTTCCTTCCTAAGTTGCTTCTGGTCATGGAGTTGTATCACAGTAGAAACTCTGAGACACCCCTGCTCCAGGGAGGGATCCCAACCCACACTCACATAGGCAACCCTAGTTAAATGAAGTGGGCCACACACAAAACACATCACAGGAGGACACTTGCTGAGAAATGGTTCAGTGGGAGGGAGAGGGGGACGAGAGTGGGTGACGGGGGATCTGATAAAGGACATTTCTTAAGCATATGGCTGAAAGAGCAAGTTTCACAAAGTGACTAGAAGATCCTTGCTGAGTTGCCAAGCCTCATGCTTTGCTGTCCCCTCGGATGTGGTAGGACATCCATATCCCATTAGTAGGGAAGCTGACGCAGGAGGGTCAAACTGGAGGACAGTCCGGACATTCTCCCTCTATGTATATATGTACGCACACACACACACACAATTTTTTGTAACAGCAGTTAAGAATCAGTGTACCTCCTATCACTTTCCTACTCTTTATGCGTGATTACTTTTTTTTTTTTTTTTTTTTTTTGGCTTTTTTCGAGACAGGATTTCTCTGTGGCTTTGGAGGCTGTCCTGGAACTAGCTCTTGTAGACCAGGTTGACCTCAGACTCACAGAGCTCTGCCTGCCTCTGCCTCCCAAGTGCTGGGATTAAAGGCATGCGCCACCAACACCCGGCTATGTGTGATTACTTAATTTTTTGCAACATAGTTACAATCAGTGTAATTCCTATCCCATTTCTTTTTTTAAAGATTTATTTATTTATTATGAATACAACATCCTGCCTCCATGTACGTCTACACATCAGAAGAGGGCACCAGATCTCATTATGGATGGTTGTAAGCCATTATGTGGTTGCTGGGAATTGAACTCAGGACCTCTGGAAGAGCAGCCAGTGCTCTTAACCTCTGAGCCATCTCTCCAGCCCTCCTATCCCATTTCTACTCTCTCTCTCTCTCTCTCTCTCTCTCTCTCTCTCTCTCTCTCTCTCAAAATTTCTCTTTTGTGATGTAGTAATTACAATCAGTGAACTCCTACCCCCAGTTTATCCAGGCTGAGGCTCAGACCTAGAAGTCATCATTACCTTTTACCAACACCCCACTGCCCACCAGTGCCAGGCTGAGGGGGCCTGAAGGCACTTTGCCTCTCCCATGTTATGGATCCCTCTGGCTGGCTGTAGACTTGCAACTGAAGAGGGATGTCATACACAGCCAGCCGTTCCTAGCAGACAACGTCCCTCAGGCCTTGTTAGGGATGATGCAGTTTATTGTCTCAAGGAACCGCAGATTCTCATCTGGAAGCACTGTGAACATTTCATTGTGGCCCCTGGAGGATGCCACTGAATGATATAGACTCTACACAAATAATCAGTGTTCCCAGCTCATTTTCTGGAAGCTGTGAGGGATGATAACGACACACTGCGTGCGCTTTGTCACTCTTTATTCTCATAGTCAGTGAATTCATGGTACCGAGATGGGGCCACCGTGAGCTGAGCTCAGTGCCGAGGTGACTCTCGTCCTGAAGAGGGCTGTGGCATCCTGAACTTGGAGAGGGCCAGGTTCAGGTCTAGGAAGGTGTATGTGCTGTAGTCATGATGCTGCAGGTTCTTGTAGGTGGTGGCGTCAGTCGGCTCAGGGGCCAGCATGTGCTCTGTAGAGGAAATGACAGGAAAGTGGTCAGACATCCATCCATCTGAGCACTCAGGAAGCGGGAAGTCTCCACAACTCCAGTCTAACTAGCAGAGAGGACCCCATGTCTTCAGAAACAATTAAGGAATCACCTGAAAATGTATGCTGAAATCTGACACCTTCCTATTAAGTGTGATCACAAAGCACAGAGAGTCAATGCTGTCACCCTAAGACACCCGCCTCTGCCCCTGCCACAGAAACCTTCCCTGAGATTGCATCACAGGCCTGCCAGGAGACAGGAGGACTCTCTGCTTTGTTTTTGATGACAATGTTGAGATGGCAATGTCCTAACATCTACGAGAGGGGACAAGGCTGCTTCATTTCTGGTACTAGGTCGCAACACCTCACCTTACGTTCCTGCATTTCTGGGTCCTGAACTCTACAAGTGTGGCAGAACCTGGAATTATGGACAGACTTCCAAATCATGTAAGAATGCACAGGAGAGAAATCATGTGACTTCTTCACATCACATCTGTCTGTGACGGAAATAGCCATCACAGATCTGAGAAAAATCTGAGTGTTGCACTAATGATGAAATGAACATGGGAACCAGGGAGGAGGGTGCGCTTTTGCTGTTCAACTTTTGGGGGGAAATCGTTGCTAGCTTCACAGATTCACAGACAGAAACAAACACACACATGTGGCCTTTTCTCTTAAGTGGGAAGATTAAATTATACACCTAAACACTTGATGGAACTTAAAATCCCAAGTGTGGGACTGAAGCGACAGGACACGGCTCGTCCGCAACACGAATGCAACAAAACGGGAGACAAAGCCAGCGAGGGCCACAGGGCAAGGTCTGTGCTAAGACTTCCCGACGCTCTAGAATCAAGTCAGCAGAGCCGTCTCAGCTTCTAGTCACGCACGCGGCACAAAAAACAAACAGCCCCACAACTTAAATACATATGTCTCTGTTCCCGATCCAAACGCTAATTCTCACTACTTAATTTAGGAAGGAAGAGAGGAAGGGAGGAAGGAAGGAAGTTAGGAAGGAAGGGAGGGAAATCTTACAGAGCTGGCCTCTTCTCTACCTCGGCAAGCTGAAAATCTCCAGTGTGGTGAAGGAGTACCTTCAAAGCCATAGTTATTATAGGTGCGGCGACAACAGATGGCACTGGGGGGATTATAAACTATCAAAACAGCTCACCTGTAAGCAAGGAGCTTCGGACAATGAACACTTTGTGAGCTTTAGGTGCCGGCAAAAAGGGTTTGGGGGGGTGGGGTGTAGCAAGTTTGTTTCTGCAGTGTTGGAAACTGAATCTAGGCTCTTACTCACTAACTAAGCCCCACATATCAGCAGCTCTGAGTTGTTCCCTCCAGAAACAACCTAGAAATCCCCAGTCCTGTACTTTAATCCTGGGTTTGAGGCACTCCTCTCCAGCTGAGATCAAATCTGAAAACTACAACAGAAAGGCAGGTCCCGAGGTCTCAGGAAGTCTGGCAAGCACTGGTACCTGGCACGTTAAAGAAGGGAGACGGAGAAGGAAGAACACACAAACGCTGTCAGCGTCCTGGAAGAGCAACGGTTAGCGCACCAGGCGATGCAAAGTTGGCAAGGGCGGGCTCGGGATGACATGCAGGTGCAGGAAGGAGGCCTTGCTAGCGATGTTCCAGTTAAGAAACTCTCCAGAACTGCAGATTCTAAAATCAAACAATTCCTGGTTCCCAGTGAGCTGCCCAGAGGATGTCATACATGCGTGAGACCACGCACTATGTTAGGAGAACAGCCCCTCTTGAGAAACTCCTACACTGGCTTCAGTTCACTATACACAGAGTTGCTAAGGCGCCTCTCTAGTTCGGCCCACCGAGGGCTATCACAGCCATGAGTCACTGCTGCTCCTGACCCGTGCAAGCTCCACAAGAGACTGATTTCCACTTGGCAGGGCATTGGCTGAGCTCATGAACTACGTGCTTGGGCATCCTCCAATGCTAGCTAAGTGTGCTGATGCTAAACTACCAGTTTCCATAAATTACACTGTCTAAGAAAGAGTTAAACAAGGTCAAGCGGTGCACATCTACACCCAGCACCTGGGAGTCGGAGACAGGAGAATCAGGAGTGCAAAGCCAGCGTCAGCTACTGAGCAAGTTTGAAATCACCCTGAGCTCCATGAGACCCTATGTCAAAAAAAAAAAAAAAAAAAGATAAAAGATATTCTTTTCTAAACACATAGAAACTCTGGGTGGGGGCGATCTTTAGAATCTCTACACCCTAAAGGACAAGGAGAGTCTGAATCAAGACAAGGTGTACCCTGTGTGTCGTCTGAGGCTTCCTGGGGTGGGCCTGCATCAGTGGGCGGGGCTTCACCGATGGCTGCCTGCTCCAGCTGTGGTCCTGCTCTCTCTTCGAGGGTATCTTTCTTCTCAACAGGAACGGTCTTCGAATATCCCACTGGTTTCTGATCTTCCCAGGTCTCCCCCTTGGCCTTTGAGTAGCCTCCTGGCACCTGCCTCTCCAGGCTTTCTTTCCCAGCCAGGACCTGGGGAGAAGCTGCCTTCCCTTCAGGCTCTGGCTCTTTTGGTTCCAGTCGCCTGGCTTTGGCCTGGGGTGTGGCAGCTGGCAGCTGTTCTCCTGCACTGGCCTCTGGTGTTCTCGCTGTGGGCACTGGGCCACCAGTGAGCCGTGCAGATGGGTGGACGGGTAAGATTCCTTCAGCTTCTAATGGCTTTGGGCTTTCCTTCCGTGTCTTGCTCGGCCTTGGTTTCCCCTGTGGGTGTTCTTCCTTCGAGTTTGTCCCCAAAATCTCACTGGACTGTGATCTGGATGTCTCGGGCTTGGATCTGGTTTCTTTGCTGTCCTGTACAGGCTTGGTGGCAGTCCCTTTCTTCTTTGGCTGCTGGGACTGCTCTGGGTAGGTGACATCTGTGCGCGGCTTTTGCACCTTGGCTTTCTCCTTTACTGGTACTGTGATTTTAGGGACTCTGGGACCCGAGGCCTCTGGTTTGGAAAGCCCTGCCTTGCCTCTGCTCGATACCTGGGGATCAATGTTTGAGTCATGTCCCTCCCCATCAGAGTCTGAATCTGAGGAGCTGGATGAGGAAGATGATGATGAGGATGAACCGTTTGCCACCTTCTGCACATGCTGCTGAGCCTCTGATACAGAGCCCTGGACTTGGGGTGGAGATGGAACTTTCTGAGGAAACTCTACCAAAGTCTTTCTTGACAAATGCTTCGGAAGCCCTTCATCTGTGAGCGGCAGGCTGCCACCAGGGTGTGGGCCAGCTACAGCCCCACCCGTGTTCCCCACCGATGGGTAAGAACTGGGTGGAGATGTACTTTTGGACAATGACGCTGCTGTGTGGGTGGCTAGGAGCTTGCCCCTCTCTGCTCCCACCACATCTGGGAAATGGCATAAAGAGGAACATTTATTATTTAATGAACAACTCAAAGCCATAGACATTGCATTTCGTACCAGCATGTTATAATGTTGTCCAGGTAACTGACTCAGGGTAGGTTCCAGGAACCTCCCCCCATGCTGGGGGAGCAGTAGGAGTGGGCAGACTTGACGCTGACCAAACCCCTTAAGGAGGGGTCTTCTCAGCCAGGTGGTGGTGGCGGTGGCGGCGCACGCCTTTAATCCCAGCACTTGGGAGGCAGAGGCAGGAGGATCTCTGTGAGTTCGAGGCCAGCCTGGTCTACAGAGCGAGCTCCAGGACAGCCTCCAAAACAATACAGAGAAACCCTGTCTCAAAAAACCAAAAAAAATAGGGGCTTTCTCACCAACAAGAGCCACAGACGGATTCCATTTCTCACACTCATGGCTTCCCAGATAATAATTAATCTTAAAGCGATCTCACTCAAATTTAAGACAGTTAAACTCTAGTGCAAGTATTTTCATTTGACTACACAAGTTTTGCAAAGGTATAATTTCTTGAAGTGCTAAGACCACTCAAGTATGTGGTGCTTTTCTAATATTAAAAAGTTCAGAGTTTGACCTTTCTAAACAAAAACACAGCAGAGGCACAGGCAAGAGTCTGCTTGGAGTTGGGGTAAGTGCGCCCCTGTGAGGAGGAGTGTGGTGAAGGGCGTGACAACGGCTCTTCAAGTAAAGTTGTCCTAAAAAGGAAGAAAAGTCCTCAAAATCCCACAGGTCACATGGGGATTTCCTCAGCCAAGAAAACAAGTTTTGCAAAACCAGAAAGTCTAGAATAATTCAATACCACACCTATCACTAGAAACAGATGTTAAATACAGAAAAATTTATCTGTTAGATAAATTCTAACAGAAAAAAACCTTACAGTTCATAGTCATTTATGAAAGGACAAGCAAACAAGCAAAACCACATCAATTGGAGCTGATTTCGTTCGGTTTGCTCAAGTGTCTGTCTTTCTAACCACAGGGGTCAGAAGAAAAACACAGGACAAGCTATTAATATAGGAGATTACCCTCCACACCTGAATGGAACCAAGCATTCTCCAGATGAACAGATCTTCTGAGTTCTTAAGACAAGGCTACATCTAGGCTAAAACTGCCTGCTTCCTCCTCTGTGGTAGGACCAGGGCCCCCTTACCCATCTTATCATGGTAATACCCACACAAGAGTAGGAAGAAAGTGAAAGTCTCCAAGCCAGAGAAAGTGTGACAGGGCTGCGAAAGGAAATGATCAGAACCAGAGCAGTGGGTGACAGTTGAAACCAGCCCTGTTCACAGACATCCTATGTCTGTCTTGGCCCTGGCCACCTAGAGTAGGGACTGACACGGCGACCCAGAGAACACACAGTCCCGGGCCATGTCTTCGGCAGAGCGAGGAAGCACATACACACTTGCTCTTGCCAGGTTGCAACTGCACAGCTCAGAATTCCCAACGGCCACACGGGTGACTTCCTGACCCCCAGACCAGCTAGCCCACTTACCTACGGCACTGGCATTTTTCTGAGCTTGCCTCTTACAAACAGGAGATGACTTTAGGGCTGGGGTGTGGCTCAGCAGGCACAGTGCTTGCTCAACATTCTGAAGGTACCGAGTTCTAATCCAGCACTACAATATGGCAGGGATGGTGGTACATGACTGTGATACTAAGATTCTGGAGATAGAGGCAAGAGGATCATAAGTTCAAGACCACCCTCAGCTACAAAGCAAGCTTGAAGCTAGCCTAGTCTACAAAAAGCTCTGTCTCAAAATGTAAAATAATAATAATAATAATGATAAGCTCTCAGATGGCCAGTTTTGAATAGAAAAATGATGGAATAAATCTTCCAAAATATGTTAAGGACTTAGGGATTTGTTTTTATGCTCTTGATTGGACCCAGGGGCTCAGGCACACTAGGCAAACTGCCATTGAGCAATACTCTCCTTAGCCCTTGGATTTCAAAAACTGTGATGAGCTATAAAACTACACTATTGGGGCTGAGGTGCAGCTCAGTTATATGGCATGTGCTGGGCACAAGCGAGGCCCTGAGTTCAGTCCACAGCTCCCCCTCCCCACACACACACAAAGAAGAAGAATTTACATTATAGGTATTTACCTACAAAAACAGAAAGCATTCGAGATCCGCTTAACACAGAGATTCCACCGAATGAGAAGGCCTGAACAGTTTCTCTTCTCATTGGCTACAGGAAGAAGTCTAGAAAAGGCTAACGGATGCAGGGACTGGTTTTGCTTTTGGTGGAGGGTCAGTTTCTGGCCTGCCCGACCCAGCCCTGGCCTCATCTTTGAGCCTCAGAGGAGGCCTGCCATATGGACCTATAGTTGCCTCCGCTAACCAGCATCCACACCAAGCCTGCATTTACCAGTGCAATGGACCACAGAAGGTGAATGTGGCGTCCGAGCAGCACACTTGGTGTGTGGACACGGGATGCGGCATCTTCTCATGGCATTCTAGCTAGGGGCCGGCTTTCCTCAACAAACCACCCAACAGAATACCTGCTGCCCCCAGACTCCTTCTGCAGGCTCCTCTTGGAGCACAGAAGGGGACATGGCAGGGTGCTGCTAGTTCTACAGAGACCACAGCACCCTACACACAGCCAAGTCCACAAATACTATCTAACAGCGCCAACTAGTTCTCCCTGCTACCTCCCCATCTTCTCGAAAGACCCAAGTCAAGTTTCTGGATCTCTTTTCTGTTTGGCTGGAAATGAAGAACACAATCTTCAAGCCTCCAGCCCAAGAAAGATGGCTGCTGTGCATTCGTGGGGCTGGAGAGACGGCCCTGCAATTAAGAGCACCTATTGCTCTTGCAGAGGACCTGGTTCAGGTCCCTGTGCCCATGCTGGGAGGCTCCCAACAGCTGGTAACTCCAGCTCCAGGGGATCCAATCCCGCTTCTGCCCTCTGTGGGTGCTGCACTCACACACATACATATGCACACAATGACCCCTCACTGGTGCATAGACAGACAGACAGACACACATACACACTGCATCTCCATCAGCCCCATAGCAGCCAGGGAGGTGGCAAAGCTGCAGGCTCAGATGGCTGCAGAGCCAGCAGCAGGAGCTCCAGGGAATCCAAGGCCAGGTCTCCCTTCCCAAACCTCCCCAGGACGACAACACTTACTCGCACAGACACTTATCTTAAAGAGAGGTTTCTTGGGTCCTAAGACCCATTAGTCTAAAATCATGTATCTAGAAGTTAGGGTTATAGACATAACTTAAAACTCCACTAGAGAAGAAGACATAATTGGTATTGAAATCCAAGTCACTCACCAATAAGCTGTCATAAGCATTCCAGGCTATGCAAAGCCCTGGGTTGATATCTACAACATGCAAAAATAAACAAAAGACCAGGCCACATGCAGTTCGCGACTTAACAGACATTCTCGTTGCAGACACTTCTTAGGTATACTGGGATTCTATGGGTTTTTTTGTTTTGTTTTTTTTCTTATTTTTTTGAGACAGGGTTTCTCTGTATTGTTTTGGAGACTGTCCTGGAACTCACAGAGATCCTCCTGTCTCTGCCTCCCAAGTGCTGGGATTAAAGGTGTGTGCCACCAATGCCCGTTGGGGATTCTGTGTTTTGTTGTATTCAAATAGTCCTCATGTTTAAGATTTCCATTTTTCAATGTATCCAAATGGAAAAAAAAATTAGTGTATTTTAAAACCAGGCAGATTTGGACAGTACTAAATCATGTCCTTCTGGAATTCAGGCTAGGACACCTTTGCCACATCTCTGGGAGCTGTGGAGCCAGGGGAGACTTGGGGGATGGGTGTGTGTAGAGAGCATGAAAGCCTATGGTCAGCCACTCTAAAAGCACAAACATTTAAAACCTACTGATGGTTAGTACTTGGATGAGGAAAAAACAAAGGGATCTGTATTGTTTCACATATTAAGTCAAGGAAACACTCTGAGTGGAACTAAGAGCAAACTTAGCATTCCACAGTCCAATATTAAGATGGAAGATATGCCAAAGGGCAGTTCTGTGTAGTCCTTCAAGGGTTCATCAGGGCTTCATGAACTAAGAAACTATATTCAATGGTTCTAGTTCGTAACCCATCATCAAAAATGGGCAAGGCACAGGAAATAAAATTATCCTCAGAAGAGAAGCATTTAAAATGCACACACTTCCTGCTTGCCTGGTGTGAGGCTATCATACACTGGCATCCAGAGAGTGGGAAAGGTTAAAACTTGTGACAGAAATCAAAATGATTTCGAAAAGAGCTGGAAACCGACCAGGCACCAGCTAAATGCAGCATAGCAGAAACGCTGGCTCCTAATTCCCTCCCTGAGGTCCTGATCATGTCCCCCAGATGGTGATGGGCACACCAGGACTCACTAGTCTTGGGGAGACAGGGAAAGCCAGAAACCAGGGAAAGGAAAGTAGGCCAGGGGTCTCACTACTTCACCCAAGCAAGGAACCCTGAGAGCCCCAGAAATGCCAGAGCCGTCTGCTCTCCCTGCGAAGCTGTTTTCAGAAAGCACCATGCTCCATCTAGAGCAGTGGTTCTCAACATGTGGGTCATGACCCCTTTGGGGGGGTCGAGTGACCCTTTCACAGGGTCGCCTAAGACCATCAGAAAACACAGATATTTTTACATTAGGATTCATAACAATAGCAAAATTACAATCATGAAATAGCAACAAAAATAATTTTATGATTGAGGGAACTGTATTAAAGAGAGAAGCATTAGAAAAGTTGAGACCCACTGATCTAGAGTAATGAGAGGCAAAGGCGTTGATACCACTGATGCGTTGCTGATCTTATATCCGATTATAATATGCAAGATTAAGAACCTTAGGTTATATGGCTGGTCAAACTCATTTCATGCTAATGACTTTGCATTCTTTGCCCCTCGGAGACCATCTTTAAAATCTCACCTTTCGGAGCGCTTTGCTTCTTGGGACTTGGCTGTAGCCCCTTTTCACTCTTCCCTGACTCTGTAGAGAGGGGCGTGGTAGAAGACAGTTCTCGGAACGCCCTTGCCTTCAGGAACACAGCCTGGGAAGAGTCAACAGGAAGGATACTCACCTTGATGACAGCCCATATAATGTGAGTGCTATATATTAATACTCGTGAGACACATTTATTACAATGTTCATAACATGTGGGAAGTATGAAAAGCACACACACACACACACACAAAGCTGCAAGAAAAATAAACCCAAGCTGGGTGTTAGTGACACACGCCTTTAATCCCGGAACTTGGGAGGCAGAGGCAGGTGGATCTCTGTGAGTTCGATGCCAGCCATTTCCACAGAGTTCCAGGACAGGCTCAAAAACAATACAGAGAAACCCTGTCTCGAGAGAAAAAAAAGAAAGAAAGAAAAAGAAACCCAAATTCCAGGGCAACCCCCGTTAGCATCTGGGTAAAGCAAAACATCTTCATTTCCCTATTCTCTGCAAAAATTCCCAAAATGAAAACTTGGAAACGTTTTATTAAAAATACTTTGCCAGCTTCTTTACACAAAGCTTCAGGGCATCTTGGTGAAGAGCCTGGTCCAGCAGAAACCAGGTAGGAGATGGATGAGAGGCAGGTGCTGCTGGGAGAAGCCAGTGTTGCCACTTGTCCTGCAAAGTCCCGGTTAGGCAGACCAGTACTGACATCGGGGAGAGGAGGGAGCTGCTGGCCTCTGCCATCACCTCAATGCCTAGCTGCACCCCTCTCTCACCGCCAAGAGCATGGACTCAAGGCCTAGCTGGCCCTCTGTCCAGTCCAGACTCCTGGGTCCTAGACAGGAAAACCAGTTTATTTTATGGTTTATTTTGGTACTTCACAAAATACTATGTTTCTTTTTGCAAAGTTATCTCTTTACACTTAGTAACACTATCTGCTAGTAAATACAATGTAAATAATTGTTTCAGAAATGTTACAATGTAAGTGGGAAGATGCTTACAGTAATTTCCCAGGCAACCACCAAGGCAAGTGCTATATCCTAGGATGCTTTATGACGGGCCAGAAAAGAACGGAAAAACTTCTATTTACATTTGATTCTCCGCGTGTGTACACATTATATGTACCGTTACACACTGGAAAAAAAAATCGCTGGGAACAAGATACCTGAAGGAGTAATTAAACAGTGCCGAGCTGAGGACGGGAACTGTGAGCACTTCCTGCTTTGGGGCTGGTTCAGGGACAGCACTTGACATGCAAGCGCAGGGCCCTGGGTTCCATCCCCAGAGCCCAACCCCAACAAACCCCAACACTGGTTTTGCAGAGAAAGCCAGGCTTAGTTTTTAAAACAGCTGAAAAGCCTCAGGATTGCTCTTGCAGAGAAAGACCTTCTCTCCGGGTCAGTTGAACACAGGCCCTGTGACCCCTCGCTGTGACACCAAGCCCACGGGTACTATTGAGGGTCAGGCTACGGGCCAGGGAGGTCGCACCCGTTCGCCCTTTACCTTCAGCGCCCGGATTCGTCCTCCCCGAAGCAGGAGAGTGGCCGCCATGGCACAGACGCAGCTCACCGAGGTCGTACCTAGGTACGTGACCTGCGCGCGCACACGCACCACTGGAGGCTCCGCCTCGCGTTCACGTTCACCAATCGCAGGCCAGGGTGGGCACAAGCGTCTGTGCGCGCATTCCCGGAGGACTTCCCGAGGCCACACGCCTGAAGGAGTTCACCAATCCTGGGTGGGAGCGCGCGGGTCCGCCCCTGAACAGGTCCACTGGAATCCCGCCCCTCTGTCTAGGGCCTGCCCATCATGCCCTGATCTCACCCTAAACTCTACGACCTAACAAAGTTGTACAGCTAGACTCATGCCCTTAGCGTTTCTATTTCGACTTGAGTGTCTTCTGTGTTTGGTGAGGTTTTGTTTTGTTTTGATATTTCGAGACAGGGTTTCTCCTTGCTGTCCTGGAACTTGCATTATAGACCAGGCTGGCCTTAAACTCACTGAGATCTGTCTCTGCCTCCCAAGTGCTGGGATTAAAGTCGTGTGCCACCACTGCCCAACTTGGTGAGGCTTTTGTGAATTTGTTTGTTGGAGATACAGCTCGGTGGTAGTACGCTTGCCCCTTAGGGGTATATAGGGGTGTGGCCATGTCAAAACAAATCAGAAGCTGAGCATGGTGGTGAGCACCTTCCATTCCAGCAGTAGCCTAGTTCAAAGCCAGCCTGCACTTTATAGATCTACTTTAGGAATTATAATCAGCAGATTAATTCGTTAATAAAGGCAGAACACTCCCTCCCCTCAGTAACCTCACCAGTTGGAGACCAAGCCTTCCACACACAAGGCTTTACACATAACCTGCATATCCAAGGTATAGCTGTGGAGTATGTATTATTGGTTAAAAATGCCTCATTCCCGTTGTTGATTGGTGCCCCCTCCCACACGGTATCCAGTGCATTGCAAGTATTTCAAACGAATGTGTTCACACCTCCAGTTTCCACCAAGGAAAACTCCCTTCCCCAAGCTGTTAGGTTTTGGGTGGTAGTGGAAGGATTCAAGACACTAAAATTAATTACTGGGGGGAAAGGGTTTATTAGATCTACTAATGCCATGTACGGGCAGACGGGAGGCAACAGTATGGGGGGAGCTCTGAGCAGCATTCAGTTCCCAGAGACAGAGAGCATGGCCAGGTCTCTGAAGGGTGAAGTCAGCCTGTGTGGGAGCCTGGGGGGGGGGTGCGATTGCTGCAGATACTGTAGGCTGTGCAGAAGCTAGATTCTAACATTACACCTTACAGTACACTTTGAGACTGACTGGAAACTGGCCTTTGAACATCTGGAAACGCATTCAGATGACAGGATAAACTGGCAGAGTCACGAGTCCCCTGACCTTGGCAGAGCACAGGAAGGCAGAAAGAACACACGCAGATGTAGACAACAGTGAGGATACAGCCCGTTGTCTCTAAAGGAAGAAGACACAAACGTCGTGCTAACAGAAGAACTGTCCCTGTTCACCTAACTCTTGTCTTGGGGGACCTTCCCATTCAACTTCCTGATGTGAGCTTACTTTACAGGAGAGTGAAAACGACTGAAGGGAACAGGTCCTGTCTGTCCTTTGGGCTACTGGAAATGGAATTGTAAGATCATGGGACCCAGAACTTCCATTCCTCATACCCAACCAGTTAGACATTGGAGGAACTGGGGGACTCAAGAACAAACAAAAGAGAAGACTCCCCAGTGGGAGAATTGTATGCATTTATTCCCACGAGGGCTCATGAGTTGGAAGCTCACCGCTCCAGGGTGGTGATATGGGAATGGCACCAGTAAGGGTGGGGCCCGTGGGAAGTAATTAATCACAAGGGGTGCAGCTTTTGCACGGAACTGATAGGTCTCCCCCACCCCATAATAGGTTTCTCCGCTGATGCAGTAAGCCAAATCAAGCCAAACTGAAAAAGTTTAACAGGTATATTTGAGCAGAACAACTCCTGGGCAGGTTCTCTGGTCCTAGAGACTGAGGTCAGAGAAGTTGTGCCCCGAACTAAAGCACGGGGACTTTATAGGTTGTAGGCAGAAGGGTGATGATGTATCCACCACAAGCTGGGTTTGTTCCCAAGTATGGTCAAAAGCTGAGCTCTTAGGTGGCTCATTGTGCTGCTGGTGGCAACAGGGGAAGAAGTTGCAATTGTCACCAAGAATGCAGAACTGGGCTTTTTGACTCCTATTCATTTTTGGAGACTCTCTGAGTGGATTAGGTCTGGAGGTGGGGGAGGGAGAGAGAGGGAGAACTGGGACTTTCTGGATTATTCAGGGGCAGGCTGGAGGTTCCAGACCAGACTGGAATTAATGTTGCTCGTGTGGGAACCTGGTAATTCTCTTGAGAAGGATGGTGTCTTAGGGATGATGTGACTTGGTTGATTTGTGTTTCTTTGAGACAAGGTCTCCCTATGTAGCTCAGACTGACCTTGAACTCACTCTCGTGACTCTTCCTTCCTTGTAACAGGGTTATAGTTAAGATGTCAGGTTTGAGAGGGTTTTGTAAAGGAGTAGCCTGGCTCTTCTTACCTCATGTTTCATCAGGTGGTCTCTCCTTTCTGAGGAGCCAGCACCCTGCTGTCTGGATTTTAACCTTGACGTTAGGCTAAAGAAACTTTTTCCCTTTTTTGTGTGTGTGTGTGTGTTCATACACGTGAAAACTGAGGGTGAAGCTTGGGTGTCGTCCCTCTGGATGAAGTTCACCTTGTTTTGTCAGGCAGAGTCTCATTAGCCTGGAATTTGCCACATATGCTAGTCTGTTTGGCTAGCAAGCCCCAGGGATCTGCTTATCTTTCTCCTGAGCATGGATTTAGAAATGTGTGCCATCATGCCTGCCTTTTTAATGTGGGATCAAATTCAGACCCTCATTCTTTCAAGGCAAATCTTTTATTGGCTGAACTATATCTCCTTAGCCTATTATTATTATTATTATTATTTTGTTTTTTGAGACAGGGTTCCTGCCTCCATAAAAATACAGAGAAACTCTGTCTCAAACAAACAAACAAACAAACAAACAAACAAAAGAGTGAGACAAGGTTCCTCTTCATAGCCCTGACTGTTCTGGAGCTTGCTTTGTATACCAGACTGATCTCAGAAATCCGACTGCCTCTGTCTCCCGAGTGCTGGGATTAAAGGCGTGTGACTCCACTGCCCAGATTATTGTTTTCTTTATAAACTACTCCCAACTATTTTGTTACAGCAACAGCAAATGGACTAATACAGACAGGGTGTAGCTACATACAAACCAGGTTGTTGGTGGAGGGGATGTGTAGCTGAGGGGGAGCGTAGGGGAGAAAGAACAAGAGTGGGTGGTGGGGCCGGTTGTTGGTGGCGCACACCTTTAATCTCAGCACTCGGGAGGCAGAGGCAGGTGGATCTCTTGGAGTTTGAGACCAGCCTGGTCTACAGAGCTAGTTCCAGGAGAGCCTCAAAAACAATACAGAAAAACCCTGTCTCAGGAAAAAAAAAGAGAGTGGGTGGTGGGGAGCTTTGGGGATTTTGTGTGTGTGTGTGTGTGTGTGTGTGTGTGAATTTGTGTGTGTGTGTGTGTGTGTGTGTGTGTGTGTGTGTGTGTGTGTGTGTGTGTGTGTGTAGGGAACATCAGTGCAGTGTGGCTGTTTCCTCGGGACTGGACATGGCCATTGCTCCTTGGAATTAGAGCAGATGAAACTTCCTCACGAGTCTGGACCATTAGCTTTTCCTCCTAGAAGGAGCATGAGGCTCACGAGGCCTTCCTCAAGACTATGGAAGAGGCAAACAATTCACTGGGGGTGGGAGTCTGGAGTGATGCAACTCTTTGTGAGTCCTCCAAGGGAGATGGGAGTCCTTGGCGGTAAGGCTGCCTGTGAGGTGTACAGAGGACTTCCCAATATTGTAGATGCCTTCACTTGTGCTCCTGTAAACAGCCAGAAATAAATCTATTGGTTCACCAAACTGGCCTTGGAAGGATACTGTGTCTGCAGAGGCTGAGTGACTAGTTAGAACTGCTCTGAGGTGGGGAGGTTGGGATGTTGCAGGCCTGGAACCCAATTACAGTTTACTTTGGGCTATCTTTAGCCTCCTAAACAGTCATTCCTTGCAGCCCTCTGTGTGTGACCTAACGTACTGACAAGCAGATAAAAACCTTGGAATGTATTAACTTAACCAAACCTCCTTCTCCACTAATCAAAGGGCTAAGAATCATCAAGTCGCAGCTCAGACTTCCAGATGAGATTTCTCCACATTGCTGTAACTGCCTTTTAACATCGCACAAATGTATTTAAGTGGTGCCTTGGTTTATAATTCCTCTTTGTTCTGTTACCATAAAAACTTCATGGAACTGAAAGTCTGGGTAGGAGAAACACAGGAAGTCAAGATGTAACTGCCATAGGGATAAGAAGCCTGGAAAGTTCCCCAGTAAGAGAAATACTTAGATTAACAATTATGGGATAAATACTTGAGTCAGAACTAGCCAGTAAGAAACAAGCAAGGCCAACAGCTTCATAATTAATATAGCCTCCTGTGTGTTTATTTGGGACTGATGTGGCTCTGGAACCAGGCTGGCGGGAAGGCTTCCCTTTACATAATGGTGTCAGAAGTGGGATTTTGAATTTCCACGTAGAATGACAAAAGCTTTAAAGGAATTTTAGAAACAAAAGAATGGAGAAAAGCATGGGTTCTTGGTGGCAGTATTTTCTCAGGTGGGCTCTATTTTGCTAGCGACAAGCAGAGACACGTGGCTTGCTTAAGGGAGTCTTCCTGACTCAGCATAAAAAAAAAACACCAACAAGGTTCTTTTAAGAGGCTCTGCTAACAATTGAAAGGTATGTGCGTACAGCTGGAAGTGGCAATGACCATATCTCCAAGCCAGCAGCTTTTGCTAGATGTCAGCATGGACTGAGGTGGTAAGCTGGAGTCACACTTAAGCCTGCCATCTTGGAAAAACTGCATTTAGTTTAAACAGCTGCGGTTTTAACAGATAAGACACGTGGCCAGAAAAACATAAAGATTTACAGTAAAATCAGACTTTGATGAAGAAAAACCTCTAAAGGTTTACAGTGTGTTTAAATATATACATATGATTGAGAGAGAAAAAGAAACGGCATAGTGGTAAATAAAGAATCCGGCTGTGGAGGCACAAGCCGGTAGGATTTG